ATCGTAATAAGTTTAGCGGTCACCATCACATATTACATAAAAGTTCGCAATCTCAGATACATCAGAGTTTAAACATAGTTATTACAAACCAGTTCGAATAAAAGTAGCGGAAGTCATTTGTTCAAACCACACACACACACACTCACGCGGAGTTTAAATATAGTGCCAGCGAATGATCATCTCCAACAAAAGCATTAGACGAGACATAAGGAATGACCATGCCCATGGTCCTAAGCATCACCCATCGCAGGATAGAGGCAGTTGATACAATAGCCATAATACATCTGCCCATCTGCAACAAGTGGGAATAAAACCCTGAGTACGAGAAGGTACTCAGCTAGACTTACCCGACATAACCGAAAATAAATGACACCAAGGAATTATGAAGGCTTTATAGTAGGGTAGCTGACTCATTTGCAAAAGAAGCATTTTTAGCATTTCATGAACCTTTCTAAAAGCATTATTGTCAAGTTAATTATTATTAACCTGCCGACTAGATTTGCATGTATACTAGAGTAAACATGTGATTAAGCAATTAATGATAACCACTGATCATTAAACAACTTTCATACTGTCATATTCACTATAACTGTCCAAGTGTTCCATAAACATTTACTACGATGAAGTAACTCAAGTCAAGTGCTCACTATCCAAGAGCGATGGCGATTCGAATCGATTCCTAACCAGCTGGTGATTTATTCCTTACACAAATCTCACTCACCCGCTAAAGTGAGATATTGATCACCGAGTCAACTTTCCAGGTATCTCGAGTTTGCCAGGAACCACATGTACCCGGGGGCCGACCGACTGCACTTTGGTCTTATCATCCCGCCCCCGTGTCCTACCACACTGCTTGACATGCGGTCTTGGCTGCGGGCAATCTACTCGGCCGAAAAATCTCCGACTTCAGCGGTCGGAAGGTACTTTATCCGCCGACTAAATGTAAGGCATGCGTTCAACATGACTCGAGGCCCAACAACGGTCGGTTCTTAATCGATACTGCACGGAAACACTACAGTCCAAAACTCGCAAGTCTCCGTCCGGTCTCAACTTCATTTAACACTTAGTTATACCATGACTTCATAGCCATCCAAGCAGATCCAGGTAACCACCTATAGCTCGCAGGTGACAGGAAATCACCCGACTTCTACCGGTCTAAGCCAGCTAAGCATTGACTCGACTGTGGATACCAGGGTAACAAGGATATAGTATAACAAAGGTAAACAAGGTATAATGCAGCAACGGTTGCAAACAACTCCTGAACGTAATGCATCAATTTAAAGTAAAACATTTAATGAAATCATTGCAAACCGGGAGAAAGATGCTCGGGGCTTGCCTCTCTCAAGGAGCTCGGACGGTGATCGGGGCACTCCGGAAGTTCTTCAACGTCCTCCCTCGTTAAACCACGGCACTTTCTCGCTGCCGCACTCGAATCGCTCCTCGGGCTCCTCGGGAATGACGATCTGGGTTCTCGGTTTGCGATCCCTGTATGATGCAATGCGGCGTAAGTGATTATGCAAACGGTGCATCGAAGGAGATGAATGCAATGGATATGTTGAAATGCAAGGTAGTCAACATCGTCCAAGAAACTATGCTACAAGCACATGTCATCTATCTGCATTCTCTTCTACTACCAATATGTTAAGTTAACATATCTTATGAAATGCTTCAAAGATACACCAAAGCTTTACTAATTTCTTAATCACACTTAAAGCAACAATTGCTTAACCCTAATTACTAATAGGTTTGAATAGCAACATATATTTCTGATGCTCCTAAAATCTGAGAAAAATACCGTAGCATAATACTACCCTAAATAGACTACCATAAAATTTCATGGCATTTGGATAAGTAAACTATCCTACATAAAAATGACAAGCTATAGCATAAAAATGAGCATGAAATTACTTTGTACTATGAAAAGTGTCAAACAACAGATTGAGTATTTTTCCTATGTTCTTTATAGCATATAATCACTGTACAAAAATTGTCACATGTATGTTTTATACAAAATTTGTGCTCTAGCAAAAATAACAAAAATCAGCCATTAAAGGTACTTGAACTACACCTCAAAATTTTCCCACAGCACATGCATGAAACATATTTTTCCTAGGAAGTACATGACATAAGAAGATTAACAAACTTGGAATCATATTTTTCTGAAGCCTATAGAATTTTCTACAGATTTTTCAAGTTATCAGCAATATTCAAGATTAAATAAAATTCTACAAGCAAAGTATCTCAAAAATGACATGCACAATTTTTTCCAAGTAGATCTGCTGATAAGGAACCTAGCAAAATTTGTTTCAACAAATTTGGAGCAAATTTGAGTACCCAAACATTTTTCAAACCATTTCAAATTTCAAATAATAAAGAATAAGTTGAAATCATTTATTCAAACGCCATCTTTGGGCCAGCCTGAACGGCTTTGGGCTGGCCCCATCTTGGCCAAGACACGGCCCAGAACAGCGCAGCCCATCTCCGATCCCCTCAGAAGCAATGGCGGCCGACAAACGGGGCCCCTGACGCCAATGAGAGAAAACAGGGACGGAGAGGGACGACGCTGCAAGCAATTTGAACTTCGCCGACGGCGAGGTCCCCATAAACGGAGAGCACCAACGTGCTCCCCATGCCAAACCGCGTACGATAGAGGCGAATAGGGAGGGCGGTCTTTGGGGAAAAAAGGCTCGGCGACAGTAATAATGGCGAGCGGGCGGCGCGTGGTCGTCGCGGTGGAGCATCTCGACCACGGCGAGGGTGCAAGGAGGCGCCGGGAGACTCAACGTCGTGCCGTGCGGTGCTTGCGCGCATAAGTACAAGTAGGAAGAGGAGCTGGGGGGGAGTCCACGGAGCGGAGCTCACCAATGAAGCTTCGGCCGTGCTCGGCGAAAGCAATTCCCAAGAACGGGATGCTTACCACACGGAAAAGCGAGAGCAGCACGGTGTGCGGGTGATGGCGGAGTCAGAGGCTAGACGGAGTTGTCACCGTGAGCTGAGGTGGCGGGCGAGCGGGCTCCGCAAGGCGCGTGTGCGGTGGCGATGGCGGCGCGGTGGCAGTGTGAGAGGAGAAGGCAGCTGCTGGTGGGAGTGAGCGAGCGCTGGAATGCGGTGGCGCTGGGAATCAAGTCATGTGAATGCAGCGCTGCTTGCGCGTGTGCGGATCGCAGTGTCAGCCGCCGTCGACGGGTGGCGCGCCACGCAAGCGGGCAAGCCTCGACGCAAGGTCGGGGCTGGTGTGGCATGGCAGGCGTATGGCAAAGGCGGCAAAGGCAAAGGCGGTAGGCGCAAGCGCGGGCTTGGCTGGGCCGAGCGAGGCGAGGCGCTGGCGGATGCTGGGATGGGTCGGCTGGCAGGCGGGCGGAAGCGGAAAGGTAGGCTGACGGTTGAAGGATGAAAAAGCCTTTTTCATTTATATTTTTAAGGAATTTTTAAATGCCATCTTTCAAATCTTATTTTGAGCAAGAAAATGACCTCTTTTGAAAATGTACCAAAAATGAAAGTTGCTTAGAATTTAATTCTCTACAACTTTGCTTTTAGGACCATGACCAAATTCTTTCTAGATTTTGAATTGCAAGATCAAAGTCTACGTTTAGCTCAAAACCCTAATTTTGGGAATTTATTTTTGAAGCCAAATTTTGAATTAATTTGAATACAAACATTGCTCCAAAAATTGAACTAAACATTGCTAGATGATCTACAATAGTAGCCAAACATGTTTTACTAACCTAGCAAGAAAATTTGTGGTAAAACAATCCTTAAGCAGTGTGTATGCAACATCTAGGTTTAGGCGCATGTTTTGAGATGTTTCAAAGCAATGTTTCAATTATTATTCACACGATTAAGCATGTATGATTTGGATGCTTGATGATGCATGATATGCGTGATTTGCAAAGGTTGCCTAAATGTAGGCATAACACGGGTGTTACATGCGCCCAGCGCCGCAGGCCCGGGGCCGGGGTGGTGGCCGGAGGCGGATTTCACGGCAAGGCGCTCAGGGCGTATCAAGACAATGGGCGTGGCGCAAGCACGGTGGTCGGGCAACATTGGCTGCAAGCGCTGGCTGGAATGGTGGTGCCCCAGCTCGAGAGAGTGAGGAAGAGAGAAATAGAGAAATGAAGGGAGGGCCCATACGTAAGACTAGGACTCGGCGCCAAGATCCATGGCACCGAGCTTGGCGCCAAGATCCACGGCGCCGAACTGGCTGCCATGTCAGCGTCCACGCCACCAACGTGGCCCCGACCTAGGTGCCAGAATCTATGGCGCCAAGACATGTAAGCTCGGTGCCACCAATGATGACGCCAAGTTAAAGGTCTAGATTTTAAAATCATATCTAAAGGGCACATTTGTGATTTTTTTTAAAAAGGGCTAAAAATTCGGCGTTGTTGCATGTTCCTCGAACAATTATATTTGTTTCATTTCAAACGCCAATTTTATAGGGTAACAGCTCAGCGTCAAGATCTACGGCGCCGAGCTCGGCGTCAAGATTTATGGCGCCGAGGTCTTGTCCATGTCGGCGCCAGGTCACCGCCACGTCCGACGCCTCGTCAAGATCTCGACGCCATTGGCTATGACGCCGAGACGTGTTTCCTCGACGTCAAAAGTCATGGTGTCGAGGTCAAGATCCATAAACAAAAATCAGATATCTATTTGTGAATATTTTCTTTTTTAAAAAAGGGTCGGAAAAATAAAAATTCGGACTCCCGCCGCGGTGGCCTTTCGGAACCTTCTTCCGTCTCTCCTCCACCTCCCGCCCCCGGCCCCGGCCTTCAAAATCAAAACAGCCACCCCCAACCGCCGCCATCCCCAATCCCCCATCCCCTAGGCTACCAGCAGCTAGCTGTTCCAGCCTCCGTCGCTTCAGGCATCCGCTGCTCCCCAAGTCAAACAAGTCCGGTTCCCAATTTCCCCACGCCAAGTAAAAGCCTCCTCCGATTTCCATCCCTTCGTTCCGCCCACCGCCCCGCACTGCCGCCGGCGAGCGACGAGCCAAGCCGGCCGCCATGTCTGCCACGCCGGAGGACTTCCTGGCGGCGCAGGAGGGGGCTGCGCCGTACCTGGCGGTGCCGGAGCCCTTCTCGCCCTCCGTCTTCCTCGACCTGCCCCCGACGCCGCCGGGGCGCCCGACCGACGACGACGACGACCCGGACCTCATCCTCCCCTTCATCTCCCGGATGCTCATGGAGGAGGACATCGACGACAAGTTCTTCTACCAGTTCCCCGACCACCCGGCGCTCCTCACCGCGCAGCAGCCCTACGCGCAGATCCTCTCCGACTCTGCCACCGCCTCCTCTCCGTCCGAAGATTCCTCCTACGCCGCCGCCATCAACACCACCGCCATCACAACTACAACCAGCAGCAGCGGCTCGGGGACCGCCGGCGGCAACTCCAGCCTCTCGCCCTCCTCCGACGCCCCCGCGTCCTCCCCCGACCCCGCCTCCTGGCCGCCCTACGACGACCCGGTCGACCTCTCCGACCTGCTCCGCTCCCCGCCGTACCCTTCTCCTGACATGGGGGTCGGCCTCGACGACTTCGCCGGACTCTTGTCGCCGGCACAAGGACAGGATGCCGCCCCCGCGGCACGATTCCACTTCCAACAGAGTCCGCCGTTCTCGGATGGCGGCGGCGGCGGCGGAGGAGGAGGAGGAGACCAACGGCAGCAACCTTCCTTCGCCGCCCAGAGCACTGGCGGAGCCCAACAACAGCGCGGCAGCCAGAGCTCCGCCGCGTTCTCCAGTGACAAGGATGAAGAGGAGGAGACGAAGACAGAGTCCACCACCTTTCCTGCTGCCGACGCCGACCACGCCGCGCTGGCCTCGGCCTTCTTCGGCGCCCAGAATGGGGGAAACATGGACATGCTCAACATGGCGTTCCTCAAAGGCATGGAGGAGGCCAAGAAGTTCTTGCCCACCACCAACAGCCTTCTCATCGACCTTGACGACCCCTCTGGCAAATCCTTGCCTAAAGACAGAGACAGCAAGCCCTCCACTGCCTTTGCTGCTACCCAAGTCCAAGTGAAGGAGGAGGAGCAGGTGGTGAATGCAACATCAATGTTTGGGGGAAGCAGAAGCGCCATCGGCAGGGGCCGCAAGAACCGCCATGCCGAGGAGGATGATTTGGAGGCGGAGACAGGCAGGAGCAGCAAGCTGATGATGCCGGAGCAGGAGGAAACCGGTGCCAACGAGCTGTACAATGAAATCATGAATTGTACCTATGAGTCGTTCATGAAGCGCATGGAGGACCTGCGCATCGCCATGGACAGTGAGACTGAGAAAAGCGCCAGGAAGGTCAGCAGGAAGGGGGCGCGGGGGAAACAGAGTCTCGTGAACGAGGTCGTCGACCTGCGCACCATGCTCATCCATTGCGCGCAGTCGGTGGCCACCGGCGATCGCCGGAGCGCGACCGAGGTGCTGAAGCAGATCAAGCAGCACTCCTCGCCCCGAGGGGACGCCACGCAGAGGCTGGCTCATTGTTTCGCCATGGGACTGGAGGCACGGCTTGCAGGCACGGGGAGCCAGGCGTACCAGTCGCTCATGGCACAGCACACCTCGGTCGTGGATTTTCTCAAGGCATACAGGCTGTACGTGGCAGCCTGCTGCTTCATGAAGGTGAATTTCATCTTCTCCCACATGACAGTTGGTGACGCCGTGGCAGGGAGGAGCAAGTTGCACATTGTGGAGTATGGTGTGCAGCATGGATTTCATTATCCAGGTTTGTTCCATCTACTGGCAAGGAGGGAAGGTGGACCGCCAGAGGTGAGGGTCACCGCAATTGCCGTCCCACAGCCTGGGTTTCGCCCAGCCCACCAGATTGAAGAAACAGGTCACCGTCTCAGCAACTTTGCCCGTGAGATGGGCGTGCCATTCAAGTTCCGTGGTATTGCAGCAAAGTGGGAGGCCGTCCGTGCTAAGGACCTCAATATTGATCCGGATGAGGTGCTTGTTGTCAACAGTGAGTGCTATATCGGCAACTTGATGGACGAGAGCGTTTTGGTGGACAGCCTGAGCCCTAGGGACACGGTCCTCAACAACATCCGGGAGATGCGGCCCAATGTGTTCATCCATACCATAGTAAATGGAACCTATGGCGCACCATTCTTTTTGACACGGTTCCGGGAGGCACTCTTCTTTTTCTCGGCACAATTCGACATGATCGATGCGACCATCCCCAGGGACAGTGCTGAACGGCTGCTGATCGAGCGGAATATCTTTGGGTCGTTTGCCCTAAATGTGATTGCTTGTGAGAGTGCAAACAGGGTGGAACGGCCTGAAACTTATAAGCAATGGCAGGTGCGAAACCACAGGGCTGGGCTCAGGCAGCTACCACTGAATCCAGAGGTTGTCAAGGCTGCCAGGGACAAGGTCAAGAACTATTATCACAGAGACTTCCTCGTCGATGAGGATAACCGGTGGTTGCTGCTCGGATGGAAGGGACGTGTGCTCTATGCCATGTCGACATGGGTTGCGGAGGATAATAAACCCATCTTTTAGTGCCTGAATCCAACTATAGATCATATTTATATTTGATAGATGGTCTATGTTGAACTATGATCCAGCACCTTGTGGTTGAGGGGACTTATGTTTCTAGAGAGTTTAGTGCTGAAACCTTTGAGGTAGAGCTACATAGGTTGTAGATATAGTTCTTGATATACTGCAGAGTTGTAGTAATCTACTATGTACAATGTACACTAGAATTAAAACCTTGTAGTTGACAAGTGGTTACATGTTTGACCTCTGAAGGCTTAATAAACCCTGAAAAGTATCTAATGATGCATGATATGAAGGTAGATGGTCTATGTTTAAACTATGATCCAGCAACCTGTGGTTCAGTGGACTTATGTTTCTAGAGGGTTTAGTGCAGAAACTTGCCAGGTAGAAATAAGTAGATGCTTACAGCTACATAGGTTGTGGATGTAGTTCTTGATATATTGCAGAGTTGTACTATTATATACTATGTACACCAGAATTTGTAATAGTATACTATGTACACAAAGAATTAAACCCTGTCGCTGACAAGCAATTTTATGGGCTACATGTTTGACCTCATGTTCTTTTTTGAAGGCTTAGTAAACCCTGAAAAGTATTCTGCCTTGTGAAGGTCTGCTTCTGCTGTAGCATCAGACTGTTGGCATCTCCATCACTGGTGGTGTAAGAATTGAAATTACACTAATTAATCAGAGTATTCTATTTTACAATCTCATTCCTTTTGGTGATATTCTGAAATGCAGATCCGAGTGGTGGCGTTCAAGTTTTCCAACATGGCCATCTGCAAGGCTATTGCAGGGAGGAAAAGGGTACACATTGTGGATTACGGCATACATTACGGATCCCAGTGGCCAGGTTTGCTGAAATGTTTATCTATATGCCCGGGAGGGCCACCGGAAATGAGGATCACTGGCATTGATCTTCCCCAGCATGGGTTCTGTCCAGCGGCTCGGGTCCAGGAGACGGGGCGGCGGCTTAGCAGTTATGCTTGTCAGGTTGACGTGCCGTTCAAGTACCGTGGCATTGCGGCTAAGTGGGAGACAGTTGGTGTTGATGATTTGGACATCGACCCTGATGAGGTACTCATTGTCAATAGCATCCTCCATTTTGGAAACTTGATGGACGAAGGTATCGACACGAGTAGCCCAAGCCCGAGGGATGTTGTTCTCAGCAACATCTGGAAGATGCGACCGGATGTGTTCATCCTTTTCATCACGAATGGCACATATAGCTCACCGTATTTTGTACGACGGTTCTGGGAAGCGCTATTCCACTACTCTGCAATGTTTGACATGATGGATGCCACGACCCCACGGGATAGTGATCTATGCGTTCTGGTTGAGCGTGATCTTTTTGGCCAGTGTACCCAGAATGTCATCGCTTGTGAAGGCTTGGACAGGGTGGAGCGCCCTGAGACATATAAGTGGCAATTGCGGAACCACCGGACAGGGCTGAGACAGCTGCCGTTGGATCCAGATATTGTCAAGGCAGTGCGGGAGTGTCAGGGACAAGTTTCACGAGGACTTTGTCATTGATGTGGATCGTCAGTGGCTCCTGGGAGGGTGGAAGGGACACATACTCTATGCAATGTCGACATGGGCTGCTGCTGATTCTATGTTGGATTCTTAGCTGCTTTAATTTACTGGATGGGTTCAGAGATATAGATAATGGCAGCTGTATATGATTCCTGAGTGTTGATGATGCTGAGCTTCTTTATTTCTTTTGTTCTTTTGTAGACATTTACAGATGGTGAACTTATGTTAATGTACAATAAACTGAACAACATCCCTCCTTTTGTTTTATTGCTGAGTGTTATGCTGTGACTGAAAAGCAAATTTGACTCTCATGTCATGTTTCGTGAAGTTCATTTAGGTTGTGACATAAGTTTTTTGGTGCTTCCCTTTCATTTGGAAAAGGGTAAACAGAAGGTTGATTAAGCATTAAAGCTATACATGTTATTCTGAGTAACTTCCTAGGCGGTTTCTACTAAATATTTTTCCCTTAATCCTTTCATTCAGGCAGTTACAGCAAAAGGAGGTGGTTAGATTCAAGATTACACTACCACAAAACAGATCATGCAACACTGTAAAAAATCATCATTCCGATGATTTTTGAAGCGCCTGGTCTACTTTTCTTCACCAGATACGGAGATGTTGGTAATGTCAACTGTACATTTGTTTCTGACTTTCTGTAAATGAACTCATGAGCCCACTAGGTCTGTCCAGTTAATTATTTGTCTACTGGAAATCTGTGCTATGTGATTGATATTTCCCTGGTTAGGTGCAGAACCTGAACCTAAAACCTGATGTAAAGACATGTCCTGGTATTTGGCTCTCTGGAACTCTAAACAATGGAATTCTTGAACTGCACAGCAGCTGTTGTCCTGACTAGAGATGAAATTTATAACGACATACATGTCTACTTAGAACTACACAGGGTCTTAGATATAGTTCCCTTTGTACTGGTGCAGAACTTGTGAAAATGTACAACAAAACCGAAGAACCATGTTTATTTATTTATTTATTGCTAGTTTATGGCTTTATTATTATGTAGCCTTGCAAATTGATATGCTACTTATTTGAATTGATAGGCCTCTGTGTTATGTGATTCAACACACTTTATTTGAAGATGCTTGGATATAAGCAGTAGATGCATTGTAATGTCTTCTAATAATGTAATAGTCGATGTTTATTTGGGTGTTCTTGTTGCTTCTTATAGCTGCAAATAGGATCTTAGATTAGTTCTCAGTGTGTTGATGCTGCCTGTGTAAATGTACAACAAACTGAAAAACCACTTGTGGTACCTGTATTGTGAAGTCCACTTTCTCTTGTAACATTGTATATTCCCTTGCACCTGGAAAGAGTAAATGGGCACGAGATTAAGCATTGAAATTGCACATATTATTCTGTTATTCAGAGTATTGATTTCTGCTTCTTTGTTTTTTGGTGATTGTTTCAAATGCAAACTTATTGGTACCATACTTTCCCCATTTTCTACCTAGTTTCAAATTCCTGGGGATGGTTTCCGCTGAATATTTTTCTTAATTCTTTCATTCAGAGTACAGTTGAAAGAGGTGTTTCTGTCTTTTCCCTTTGTGGACTCAAACTATGGTAGGCTTATGCCACCTATCTGACTAAATCTTTTACTCAAAGCATAGGGAACAAATGATATAGTAGCATGCCGAGGTACAAGGGCCTTTCAAAGAAACTGTTTCTGCAATTTTGGGAGAGGTGCTGTAACACGCCTGTTGGCTAGGGCTGGTTGGGGGGTGCGGCTATGGTATGGTGGGGGGCTGGCTGTGGGGGGCTACGGAGGATGAGGGTGGCGGCTAGGGTTTGGTGGAGGTGCTGTTGGCGCAGGGAAGAGGGGCAGTGGCAGGAGAGAGAGAGAGAGAGAGAGAGGCGCTGGAGGAAGAGGAGAGGGGGGAGGGATAGGAAAGCCCTTAGGCTATTTCTTTCTTGATTTCCAGTCAATACCCCTATATTTATAGTCCCTAATGGACTTGTGTCTCAAGCAACTACGGGAGATATCCTTATAGATTTGATTCCCCTTTCCTAAACAAACCAAATTCCAATCTCCTAATTTATTTCTATTTCTATTTTCCTAATTCCTTCCGAGGGAAGGAAGCACCGGGCTGTTGCCGTCGGCGCTGGGCATGGGCGCCCCCCCTGGGCCGCGGCTGGCCCATTGGTCCTGGGCTGGGGAGGTGCCATCAGGCGTGTGACAGGTGCTGGATGGCATCTTCTTATATGTGATGATACATACTAGTAAATAGTATGACAATTGTGAGTTTCTGAACAAAGATGGACACATATGGTCAGTGTAAGCTTACAATGATCCTTTTATCATACTAATTTGTTCACAGTAGTACTAAGTTACTGGTGATGACAGAGAAAGGCCCACAGTTGCACATCTGCAAATTGGGCGTCAGTTAATCTTAGGACAATTCTCCACCTATTGGAATTCACAATTTCACAGTAGTATGAACCTTGAGCTTTATATATGCATAAGAGATTCGGAGTAGCAGTTTTTGCAATGATGCTTCCACATGTTCATCAGTTGATATCGAATCACTGGCTTACTGGTGCGTTGAATGCTGAACCTGCTAGGATTCCAATAAGACTTTTGAGCTTTTGATCAAACTAGAGTAACATTGAACAAACTTCAGATCAGAGATGTTTGTTGCTTGCCTCAATCATTTCTCAGTCTATGTTTTTCTTAAGACAGTTTCTTTCTCTATGGAGTGTTCTAGCTTAGATACTGAAAAACTTTCTTGGAAGGGTGTAGGCTCACAGTATGCATTTCTCTATCATTTTTATTTGTTTCTCTTCAGGTTTGGACATGTCCAACGGAGACCTTCAGAGGCACTGGTGCGTAGTGGAATCCTAAGCCAGGATAGTAACGTGAAGAGAGACAGAGGAAGACCGAAGTTGACTTGGGTAGAAGCAATAAAATGAGACTTGAAAGGATGGAATATACTCAAAGACTTAGCCTTAGATATGAGTGCTTGGAAAACAACTATTCACGTGCCTGAACCTTGATGGCTTCTGCTGGGTTTCATCTCTAGCCTACCCCAACTTGTTTGGGACTTAAAGGCTTTGTTGTTGTTGTCGTCATCGTCGTCGTCGTCTCTTCAGGTTTGGTACAATAATACCTGACCAAATGTGCACAATCTGATTGTTAGAAGCTGACATATGTAGATTTGAAGAAGGTGCAATTTGGTCAGTTTTTTGCTCTGTCCGTCCACTTATATATATGTTATATGACCTATGCATATGCAGCATGGACAAACAACAACAACAATATAGCCTTTCAGTCCTAATCAAGTTGGGGTAGGCTAGAGTTGAAACCCACCAAGAGTCCTAAGTCACGGTTCATGCACTTCAATAGTTGCTTTCTAAGCACTCCTATTCAAACATATATCTTTAGGTATATCCAAGCTTTCAAATATCTTTTTATTGCCTCCCTCATGTCAATTTTGTTCTTCCTCTATCTCTCCTATTATT